TCAACAGATGTTCATAAATTTTGGAACAAAGCTAAAACTCATTTTGAACCAAAAATAGCAATATCCTTATTTCGTATATTAACGCAAACGAAAATACTTTTTAATCAGAATAAGATAGCAAACCGCCAGGACATTAGTCTTGTTCAGCACTGTTTTCATCGACTACTTACGATAATAATGATACATTGATCGAGGATTTAGTAAAAAAACTTCAAAACTAATTCCAAAACTATAATTATCAAAACTAACAAGCTAATGAATGATATATCCTTTACCGGAACAGACGTCAATAACTTATTGAAAAAACTAAATAACAAAATCTCAGCCGATTGGGACGGTGTCTCAAACAAGACTCTTCATTTCGTCCAATTTCATGGTGTATTTTTCTCGCTTCTGTCTTCACATGTATGATTCAACATGATGTCTATTCACCGTAGTGGAAACACGAGCGAACAATCATATTCTGGAAACCGGGGGAAGACATGTTCGAGTCAGGGCGTCTCATCTCGCTTCTTTCCAGTATAAGTAAAGTATTCGAACGTCTTTCATTACCGCATTTTGAAATTTGGGTAAGAAAAGTCGGCATCATCCCAGAAAAAAAACAGATTTTCAGCCCGATTGCTCGACATGGTTCAGTATTAATTCGTTTTTATCAAATGTGCATGAATCTTTTTTGTTAAATGAGGTATCTTTAGCTGTATACATTGATTTTAAGAATACGAATGATTCTATTTGGCATAATGATCTCCTTGCGCGTCTTATTTCTCTTCAGTGTTCATCTATGCTTATTCGTTTCATACACTCCTATTTGAGTAATCGTTTGCTTTCTATTTCTTATCTACAAAGCGTGTCTACAATAGTTCATATTATTCATGGCTTACCATAATGGGCTATTCTATCCCCGTTACAATTTTCAATTTTCTGTTATGACTCCTCTATCAGAGTGTCACTAAGTGGTTTTCTAAGTATGTGTGCGGACGATACTGTTGTATGTCATACTAATCCTTCAGCCTCTATCAATAACGTTCAACTTCTGCAAAAATATTTTCAAAAGATCTGAGACGCCCTTTTCCACTGAGCAACCAGATGGAAAATAATGCCCAATACAAAAAACACAATTTCAATTCTTCTTTCATCAACTAATTCTGTCCCATACTATTAATCTCAATTACAATGGTTATCGTCCTGAATTGGTGCCATTGTATAAATATCTAGCAATATAAATTCACAGTAAATTAAGTTTTTCACATCATATGCAAAAAATTAAATCAAAATATGTGAACAATACTGGAGTACTCATCTGGAACTCAACAAATATCTGGAGTTCTCGTGGCAACTTGGGGCAAAGGAGCTTCACGCAAGGGTATTTTATTACTATGTCAAACATATGTTCTCTCTCACATTCGTTATTCAAGTATATTAACATCCCTGCTCTCTACTCTACTCTATTAACATCTTAGCTGCCACGAATTTGACACTATGCAATTTCAATCATTGAAGATACTAATTTACTTTCCCTATGTATCACTAAAATCCATGCTAGATATCCTACGACTGCCTCATCGAAAGGATTTGGCAAATGCAATGCTTCTTAAATTTCGTTTTTCTTTGCAATTTCTGCCTTATGTCGTGTCGTGTTTATCCTTTTTTGAAAAACTTAAAGTCTCTCAACAGTATGTGATCCACAATTTTTCTCACTTGCACGGTTTTAATTTAACGAAAAATCTTTTGAAATATCCGAACAGAATGTATGTACATATTCAGAGTTAATGTTCTATGGAGTTAATATTCTTCCATCAATGTATGGATTCATGGTCTGATAACTTCCTTCTTTCAGTTTTTTTTAAATGTAAAGAAAATACTTAGATTAGATCATCGGCTATACTAAATGTTCTACTACGTGGACGTTATATGATGCTGTTAAACTCGCCTGCGTTTTCTTTCTACTTCATATTGTTTATATTTTTTTCTAATTTTCCTTTACCCAATCGCTGATGAGCGTAAGTGGATTCGTATTAAATAAATAAATTAGCTAATTTTAGAAAATCGTTGAATCAAAATCTAAAAATAAAAAGAAAAGAATGTGAAGAGAAATTAAGTAAGGGTAAGTAGCAGAAAACAAGAGACAACAGTTATAAGATAAAAAATAAGTACTGCTTGTTTGTTTTGGTATGTGAAGATTCAAATAAAAAAACAATCTCTGATACAACATCGATTACAAATTACAAAAGTTATTAAAATAGTTACGTATTTGCAGTTCATCAGCTAGATACTAGAATCGATGATTTCGGAGCTTTAAATTCTACTGTGATCTAACATGGCTCTGACCCTCCATTAGCTAATGAACAACTAATACTACATGTAACGCTGTTATAATCTAGTTTAATTCTAATGTTGATCTAGAAATAGGATAAAAATCGTGTAAAATGTGGATAAAAATAATCAATAAAGTATAGAGCATGAAAATAAAACTGAGATATCGGCATATAAATAAATAATATATTGTTATTTGATCAGGTCTTTTATAAATCATTTTTCCTCGCATGGATAAAATCATCCGACCATATTTATGAAAGAACTCAGCACTAAAATACGTACATTCTGTCTTTCCTGGAAGTAGGAAAGATTAAGCCATTCCAACTTTCCTAGAACATTTCGGGATTCATAGGGCTTTTTCTGACATAGCGGGACATTTCAAGATATTTCAAAAAGTTTTCGAATTTTCAGGGTGAATCTCAGCCCCGATGACATCAAACAAGATACAAATGGAGGTACGTGTAGAAAATCTACTCACATAATAGAAAAATGGACCATTGAAAGGCTCACTTAAATGAACGATAAAAATACTCACTATCTAACTGAGATAACCATCTGTTCAGTTGTATTAATATGCTAAAGTATCTTTTTGATACTAGTACTCAAAAAAGCTTGTATTAAATCATTTCTATGAAAAAGAAAGTTCCCTGAAGAACGAAAAAGTCCAGAAGCCCTGTTTTCATTACATGAAATACACAAACATTAAATAGAAAAGAATAGAAAACAAATATGCAGCAATTGAAAAACTCGCACAGCGTAATTCGGAGTGGGAAACAAAGAACAATCAGTTTTTTTCTGAATAACAGACATTATGTTAAATTGACTGAAATATCAGTCAAACCTAAGAGCACAACCGTGCTTTCAACGGCAAGTGCAAATACGAATTGAAGTCCGCTGAATGGCAGTTTTTTATCCAATTATTATGATCGTCTACAGAGGGAGAGAGCGGTAAAGCTGACGTGTTAACACCACCTTTATCAAAAATCGGTTTGTGTGGAAATCTCTGAAAAACTAGTACGTACCGCGAAAATTTGCAATATTTAACTGTTGATTTTTTTTACATCAATAGATAAACAAAACTGGACAGTCCCCACTGGACAATCCCCTTCAAAATGGGATCCATGCAATTACGAGAAAAGACTTGTGCGTGGCGCCGCTGCCGCCACGAATGAATAATCAGGATTTTTGGAAGCGAGTCGCCGTCGAACTTGTTTTATTCTCCGCCAATAGAAAAATTTTTGGGATAAAAAGTAATGAGAAATCTGAAAAACAGGAAGTTATATTGTGTTGTATAATTAGTCACATTCACAACACGAAGAGGAAGCTACGTCTAACCGTCATATACGAGGGCATACCCTAGTCGAGACTCCTGATTAAACTCCCCCAGAAGTTCTGCAAAAAAAAAGTCCTTCAGGAGTCAGCAGGAGTCCTGTCACGGGACCCCCGCAGGATCCTCTGTGGAGTCATGAAGGATTTTTAAGGGATTCATGGGGGCCTCTTGAAGACTCCCAAAGGAGTTCTATGGGATTTTTAAGGGACTGCTGAGGACTCCAGTAGGATTTTTCAGTCTCTTAACCTTGTTTTTATATAATTCTATTTTAAGATTTATTATAAAACATTGGTGCACACATACACAACAAAATGACAAACCTGTTTATAATAAAAAATGAAGTTATTTAAAAGGAAATTACTACTGATAACATCGAGTCGATTGCACAACATCAGTCGTTGTACAGAATATAGACACAGAACGGTGAATTTAGTTTTGTAGTTTACTACAAAGCTAAGTTCACATGTTCGAATCTCTATTCGTACAAAAATTGATTTTGTGTTTTTCGATAGTTTTAGTTTAGAATACTATAATGGAATATTCTTCCGCTTGTATTCTGACAGAATAAAGCTTATATAAAAAAAAAAAACATACAATAATTGTAACATATATATGTATTAAATGTGTAAACAACAAGATGATTTCTAACATCGAACTGTCAGGTCTTCTCTGAGGTACGATCCCGAGTCTCAGCACCTAGAGGTTTTCTAGCATACTAAGTCCAATGGTTATTTACGTTTTACTTGCTTTTGACTTTCCTGATGGAGTTCTGGAAAACCACATTTTAGGCATTAAAACTTCACAAAGCACTTTCATCAAGAAATTTGTATTGATTGAAACTTTGAATAACTAAGTGCACAGGATAAAGTGCATGTTTCTCTATTAGGAACAATATTTTTTAAGAAAAAGTCTTAATTTTTAATGGATTTTTAAAGAGTTTTTCCCGAAAATCTTGGATCTCTTAAAGAGATGACGGATGAACACTGCCACACAGTAGTTCTTTGATTTTTGTATCTAACTTGGCTAACTATGAGTTTCAAAGTGTGAAAGGTTAGAGCTTCCAGAGCCTTTGCTTTAGTGAGTTTTTCAGGGGTACTCTAGAAAACAGTAGAGATTAGCCATAAAGCACATAGCTTATCAACCGTTCCCAATCTACTCATGACATGTGTTTTGACTCTAGCCAAGTTAGATACAAAAATCAAAGAACTACTGTGGTGCAGTGTTCATCTGTCATCTCTTTAAGAGATCCAAGATTTCTCATCATCTCATGGTGATGTTTGAGATGATTTTATCCATCGTTGATCTGGTGAAACATTTCTGCGCCTTGAATGAACGTGAAAAATTGAAGAAATATTCAAGATGAGAATAGATAAAATGATTCTTTTAATCGGAAGCATTTTTTGTGTGATGATGAATGATTGAGACAAGCATCGTAGCGAATAACAGCATTAATAGAACGAGAATATGATAGACATCGTGTATCACCAGGTTGAATTAATTTTAATTGTGGATGTTTTAATAATGTTTGAATATCATTAAAACGTACTAATCTAGTTGATGACCGATTAATAAAATTGAATAATGATTTCAATGTTAATAAACTTTCTTTTACTTCAGGTATATCTTCACACGCTGATAATAAACATAATTGTAATATATGAGCACGACAATGGATAAATAATATTGAATTTGAATATATTTGTCGAAATTTTGCTGATACACCATTACATTCTCCACTAAAAACTGATGCACCATCAAAACCAGTAAAACGAATTTTTGTCATATCAATATTTTTAGATTTTAATTCTTTAACAATGGTATCAAATATTGTTTGTGCATCTTTATCTTTTATTTTTAATAAACTAATATATGATTCTGTTGGTTCACCTGTATCTTGATTACAATAACGTATACAAATTGATAAGTTTTGATAGTGATTTATATCTGTGCCTTGATCGGCCATAATTGAAATAATTCTTGATTGTATGTGGAAGTTCATGTTTAAATAAAAAATATGCAGCATCTAATAAATCACCAAATCTATGACGATTTTCTTGACGTTCTAATTCATTAACATTAAATAATTGTTGTGCTACTGATCCTTCTTGCTGCCTAAATGATAAATTTTGTACAGCTATTGTATGATAAGCAGATTGTTGGTGTTTTTCTAAACGTCCACTTCGACCAGGTGCACATTTCCAATTGACAAACGGTTGTATAGTAAAAACACCTCTAGTTCTTGTATTCATCTCAAAATAGGATGGTATTGTTGGTTTCCAGTAATCACGACATATACAACAAAATCCACCGTTATTTGGTTCATATACAAGCCACTTATAGTCTTTTGAATACCATTTTTGATATGTACGTTTTTTATCGTCATTTGTTGTTGTTATTCTTGTTGTGGATAATGAACAATTTTCATTAATATTCGATTGAATAGATGATGGTTCAGTATTTGAAGCTGCATTTATATGGTTGTATTATCATTTACAATATTATTTGAATAATCATTTATTTTAATTTTTTCTAATATTGGAAAGCGATAATTAGTCGTTGTCTCTTTAGCACTTTATTTTCGTCTTGTTCTTCGTCAGCACTATCACAGATATATATATAACCTGATTAATTATATTTTCTTCATTTTATTCTACCTCTCTCTGACGAAGACGTCTTTGACGTTGAAACGTAACAATAAAAATAAAAGAAGAGGGAGTATTGAAGATTAACTCAAATGTACAATGACATTTTTCAAGGAAAAAAGCTCATACAATTGATGAGCCCAGTTTATTGTACTTATGACATTTATTGAGATTGAGAAAGTTTATAATTTCTGAAAGAATTTCCAAATACTCGAATAACAATAACCAGATGAATTCTCTTTTTTTATCGAAAAAGTTTTTAAACTAAATTCTATCATACTTATTTCGTTGAAATATGAATAATTGTCATAATTAGTAAATTATAAATAGGATAATTGATTAATTTTCATAAAAATGTGATAAACAGAAAAAAACTCATACGATTGATACATACAATTGAAATATTATCAAATCGAGAATTGCACATCCTTCACCACTACTTGAAACAGACAAAATGAATTCTTTCATATGCGTTGTGCTTCATTTCATGCTGTTGACAGTGAGAGAGAAAACATCTTTTTTTACGAAATCAACTGTATAATTTTCGGGTAGGCGAATCAAAATTTCGGGGGGGCGGCGCCCATCCGGCCTACACACTAGATAAATCACTGCTCACGGACAGAAAGCTTCGTGAGCTGATCTGCCTCTCTTGTCAATATTTTTATCATATTTGTACCCTGCTTTAGCCTTATACCTTATGCTATCTAATAAGCAGCAGTTCTGTCCCAACTAAAATTCTATTAGATTCATATATGGAGCCTTTTTTTAAAATATTAAAGAACTTTTTAACTTTATTTACAGACTGGCTTTAAACTGGGTGTTACGTTCTATTTTATTTCGCCCATAGATCGGTTATCATCTGAATTTTTCTATCACCCTCACCCTCACACTTGAGCGATCCCGGCATTTGAGCGACCGACATTTGAAGCACTCCAACAATTGAGCGAAGCGCATCACTTATAGCTGCTCACCCTTTCCCCACACAGCCTCACCCTCTACAGATTTCCAAATAATTCAGCTCATAATCGGACGACAAAAAGATTGTTCTGGTCATCGTTATTAATTATTATCGAAGTGAATAATCATTCGACTTTCCTGATCGGCAAAAAGTCATATTGAAAAGTGTCTAATGTCGGAGTCGCTCAAATGTCCGTCGCTCAAGTGTCGGTCGCTCAAACGTCGGGATCGCTCAAGTGTCGGTCGCTCAAACGTCGGTTGGCGTTTTTTATACAAAGCTTTTCCACGAAAAATTTAACCCACACTGGCC